AGGATCCAAAGTCTGCGTGTTTTTATCGAACAGCGTTGCCTCTTTGAAACAGCCGGAGGGTGCAAAGCCAGGAAGGTCGACTCTAGTAATGCCATTAGATACGGTTTCTGAAGAAGAGATTGGCACAACCAACACAGTATAGCTGTATAGAAGTAAACACCCTGTTGTTATCAAGTCACTTCTCTATTCGCTCCTTGTAAATAAGAAAAAAAAATATCGACCTCAAACGACACACACACACACACCCACACACACACACACACACACACACACACACACACACACATACACACACACACACACACACACACACACACACACACATACACACACACACACACACACACACACACACTGAAACACACACACCCAAAAAAAAAAACAAAAAACAAAACAAAACAACCCCGCCCCCAAAAACAAACAAACAAAACAAAACAAACAACCCCAAACAAAAGCAAAAGAATCTCAAAACAAATATTCTTACAAGCAAACAAGAAAACAATCGAAATCCAAACAAACAAAAACACAAAACTACCCCCCCCCCCCCCCAAAAAAAAAAACAAACCCAACCAAACAAACAAACAAACAACAAAACAACCAAACACCATGTCGAGTATTATAATAAAAAATCAGAGCCTATTAATGTCTTTTTAAAAATGTCAGAACGTTTATACTTTTTAATGTAAAATTGTGTCTGAGTTAATGACTACTAACATCTAAGATATTAAAACAGCTTCAGTTTGTTTTTATGAAACTTTTAATTCCCCTCTCTGAGCACCACCTAAGTGATACGGTCATATATCACCAAACAATAAATATGCAGAATATTGTTTTTCTCTATATTCAAATATTTGTATCTGGAAAAAGTGTCAACTTGAGGTTTTGCAGTAGAGGCAAGGAGGGTGCACCAAACACATGCGGTGCCTACTGCCTACTAAATTTCAGTTTTATATAAATTACCGTAATATCTTATTACAGTTTTCTGTTATTAGTCACGTACAGAACAGCACAGCGATTGAAACACTATACTCAAATGTCAATACTCTCTGACTCTCTTGCTTTCTCTCTTCTCCCTCTCATCCTCCCATCCTCTATCTTTCTCTATATCTCTTTCTGTCTCACTTTTCTATCTCCCTGTCTCTTCCACTCTCTCTCTCTCTCTCTCTCTCTCTCTCTCTCTCTCTCTCTCTCTCTCTCTCTCTCTCTCTCTCTCTCGTTCTTTCTCTCTTTCTCAACCGCCTCCTCCTTCTCTCTCTCTCTCTCTCTCTCTCTCTCTCTCTCTCTCTCTCTCTCTCTCTCTCCCTGTACCTCTTTCTGTCTATCTCGTCCTCCAATCTCTCTATACGTGTGAAGATAGTATGTATATTACATATCATATACAGAGAGAGAGAGAGAGAGAGCGCGCGAAAGAGAGAGAGAGAGAGAGAGAGAGAGAGAGAGAGAGAAAGAGAGAGAGAGAGAGAGAGAGAGAGAGAGAGAGAGAGAGAGAGGGGAGAGAGAGAGAGAGAGAGAGAGAGAGAGAGAGAGAGAGAGAGGGAGAGAGAGAGAGACAGAGAGACAAAGAGACAGAGAGAGAGAATGGAGGTGGAGGTGGAGGTGGGGTCGGTGGAGATGGGAACAGAAACTTTACCTGAATAAGTTCCCCTTTGAATGGTGTAAGTCTCTGAGCCACTTGCAAAGTTTACATTGGTATCGCTGAAGGCCGATCACGTAATTCACGAAAGAAGGCAAAGGGGAAACGAATTAATGCTGGTCGCCTGTAAATATTGGTTATATGTTACCTTCTATTAACACACAAATTGATACGATGTTTGGATAGTGTATGGGGATGACCAAAGCCTCTTACCCATGTAAAACAAATCAGATTGACTCCTAAAACTGCTCTAAAGCCATACGTTTAATTGATGCAAACTAAGCACTAAAAAGCATGAAATGCTAACGTACACTTTTCTGTCATCTTATACCGCAAGGATATATTATATATAATAACGTCTAATGCAAAATAGTCCACATAATTTAATTTAAACGAAGAATTGCAATGCCCCCCCCCCCCCAAAAAAAAATAAAAAAAAAAAAAACAAACCCAACCAAACAAACAGAAAAAACCAACAACAACCCCCCAAAAAAAACAAAAAAAAAAAAAAAACAAAACAACCCCGCCCCCCCCAAAAAAAAAAACAAACCCAACCAAACAAACAAACAAACAACAAAACAACCAAACACCATGTCGAGTATTATAATAAAAAATCAGAGCCTATTAATGTCTTTTTAAAAATGTCAGAACGTTTATACTTTTTAATGTAAAATTGTGTCTGAGTTAATGACTACTAACATCTAAGATATTAAAACAGCTTCAGTTTGTTTTTATGAAACTTTTAATTCCCCTCTCTGAGCACCACCTAAGTGATACGGTCATATATCACCAAACAATAAATATGCAGAATATTGTTTTTCTCTATATTCAAATATTTGTATCTGGAAAAAGTGTCAACTTGAGGTTTTGCAGTAGAGGCAAGGAGGGTGCACCAAACACATGCGGTGCCTACTGCCTACTAAATTTCAGTTTTATATAAATTACCGTAATATCTTATTACAGTTTTCTGTTATTAGTCACGTACAGAACAGCACAGCGATTGAAACACTATACTCAAATGTCAATACTCTCTGACTCTCTTGCTTTCTCTCTTCTCCCTCTCATCCTCCCATCCTCTGTCTGTCTGTCTGTCTGTCTGTCTGTCTGCCTGTCTGTCTGCCTGTCTGTCCTA